GAAAGAAGTTTCTCCAGGGAAAGACCAGCTTTTGCCAGTGAAAAGGAGGCAGATCACCGCCAAGCTACTGAAAGGAAGGAAAAACAAATGGACATAAACAGTGACATCCTAAGCATAAGTAGCCATGGCAACAGGAGTCAGTTTTGTTGCTTCTGCTCACGGTTGAGGCTTAAGAGGAGAAAGACTATATGATGGCATATGTCCATTTTTATCACAATTATACATACATATCGAAGCATAGTAAAATACTTATTTTTTTAGCTTATTAACAAATATCGTTAAGCTTTTTGATTAATTGTAGCATATTTTGACCAGTCAAGAGTGTACAGTATAAAATGAATCAGCTGAGTCCTATTCCCAGCTTTTTTTTTCATGTTAAATCCTTCTATTCTCCTTTTTACTCTGCTAAACTGTCTAAATTTAGGTTAAGTTATTTGATTTAACAGTTATAGCCTGTTTATACATACAGTGTTTTTTAATATTATAATTTCCAGATATTTTAAAATTGATTTAAGCTAATAAATGTTTTGTTTGCAAAAGTCCTTTAAGATCTTCCAGTGTACACTGTGATGATATTTGTTGTCACGGTCTAATCATTTAACTTCTTGAGCAGACATTTGCTTTAAGCAAAAGTTAGACATAGGCAAGTGAAATCTCAAAATATATGGTATTGTATATAATTATCCTGAAAAGTAGGACCTTATCAAGACATTAATGAACTCTTAAGAGTTATTGGGTCCCCTAGTTTGATAAAATTTTATGAAAATGGCAACTTCAAAGTTTATTTGTGTTTTTAAGCTTCAACAAGGATAAAACTAGTCTGTCAAAATGTAGGGGTTATGTAGCATGGCCATTGACTCTGAATGTCAGTGTGAGATCATCACAGTTATCTTAGTCTGTAGGTCATCAATCACTGGGATGAGTATGCATGCCCCTAAAAGTGTTTTCAAATAAACAGGCCTATTCAGATTTTTCTCTTAATTTTGAAGTAAATATCTCACCGTCCAGCCCAAAGATAAACATGTCGTTTTTGTTTGCTTTAAAGATGAATTGAGAAACTGTAGACTGAGGGCAGGAGGTTAAAAAGGGAATCTATCTGACAGCTGAATCCCAACTGGGAGTTTGCCTGGTACTTCATAAACAAAATGTATCGTGCTTTGATTGATTTATCGGGAATCTGTACTGAGTATAAGCTAAGTAACTGTTAATGATTCATGCTGCTCCCCACATTAAGGCTCAGGCCTTATACACGTGTGGGCAGTGGACAGTAAGATGCATCACAGTCTAGTAAGTCTGTTGTCTTTCTCAGTCCAGGCAGAGGGTACTGATGAAGTCCAACTCAAATGGACTTTGTTCCCTCTACATGTGGCCGTACAGCACCTTTGTTAAGGCGCCGTCATTTAGTACTCCCTGTTGGAAGTACTAAAAAATGGCACAGTAACAGCCTGTAGACGCACCCTTTGGGAACTTTAAAGAAGAGTGAATATCTAAGTAATAAGAGAAAGCTGAAGTGTTTATCTATGGTGGGTTGCCCTTCTCCAAATAAGGCACATCCCATAAATGGTAGAGGAGGCAGTTATCTTAAGCAAATTGGTAACAAAAGCAGATTTGAGAGGTCTGTGCTTCCAAGTTAATTTTACCTGCAATAATATTTATTTTAATTTTAAAATGAGTCTGTCATAGTAGGATAGAAAAAAAACAGGACCTGATATGGTTTCATACAAGATGCTTCTTTTTGCTACCCATTTCTCCAAATCAGCTCCTTGGACCAAATTAACTAACTCATTAATTAAAGCAAAAAGGCTTTAGTGGTCCAGCCAAATTTCCATTGGCAGTGTATAATGTATTACAAGAAGGAGCTCAGAGTGATGAGAGAAGCATTTGCTGTAATTTCCATTTAACACAAATTTTAAGGTCAAAACAAGAGGGCCATTTCACTGTGACATGCATTGCAAATGATATGCCATTGCAAGTGCGGTCTGTTCTGTACTTGAAGGGAAGCACAGCATTACTGCAGGAGGCAAATCAATAAAACTGCCACAACTCACGCTGGAAATCAGCTGCTAGCAAAAACCATATTAAACTTCCAACATATGTTACTTCATTTTAAATAGATTTTCAGAGTATGTTTGTTTCATAAAATAACTCAGCTGATGTCTTAGAAATAGCCCCACTCAGCACAAGAGGGGTTTGTAGACATCTAGTACTTGGAGTACTTTTAAAAAAAAATCTCATATGCTTCTCGGGAAACAAGATGTCAGTCTAAAAATATCATACAAGGGCCCGCAGGCCTTGCCTAACTAATGTCCGAGCACACCGTGTCCTTGCTTGGTGGGTAAGGGATTTTCCTGTCACTTAGGTTTTGAAAACAAAACTTTGAGCCTCAGAGAATTTATTCAGAATTTCAAAGTGCGCCAAGTACAGCCAGGTCTTTGTATTGGGACCGACCCACAGAAAAGGAACTGAATGTAGGGTTAATGAAAGCTGATTTAATTTGATAGATTTCAGGTCTGAATCAAGTTCAACATGTCCAGAGTCATAACACAATCCTAAGACTTCCTGTAAGGCAGACTTACCAGAAATGGGGACTTATTTAACCCAACAACCAGTAACTTCTAATAGTCCCATTTTAAATGTTGGTAGCCCAGATAAACCTCTGTGTGAAAATCATGTGTATTATCAAAGCTAGAGGGGTTGTTTTGGACCATTTTTTACTCTAGGAATCTCTCTTCTTTTCCTCTCTCTCTACCAGTTTGGATTCAATGGTGCAGAGTTAGTAGCAGTCCTTTGTAGCACTAGTTCAGCTGTACTGCCTGCTGTGATGGAGAGTCACACCATCCTAGTCATTTTATTCTCAGCAGGTATTTAGGTAAAGCACTTCAGTTCAGGAGCACTGGGCTACACTGTAGCTTCCAGCATTGGTTGTTAAATGCTTTGAGTCTCCTACGTTGTACCTTTGGGGTTTCAGCTCTCACATGAGAACCACTAGCTTAAATTAAAAATTAACAGCAGAGTAAAGAATGAAGTAATTATGTATCCATTTACTCTGTTTTAATCAGAGTTGGGAAGCTGAATAGTTATATCCTAGTCAGCTAAAACTGTAATAGTCCCTGAGCCATTTGGAGCGGGTGATATGTTTAAAGGGCAAAAATCTTAATCTGAAACCTATCTGCTCTCAGTTCTTGGTGCTATGTGGTAACCTTTAACTTACCTTGAACTGTGCTGGTTGGGAATAGACATGTTGCATATTCTCTAAATCAGCCTTAGAGCATATGTCGGTACTTTAAAAACAGAGATTATTTGCTACAGCGAATGCTCAGACACATTCCTTGGACTGCCCTTTTTAAACTCTTGTGCTGGTAGCCTTGTCTTTCGGTTGACAGTGGTTGTGTCTACATGAGCAGCGGACTGCGCAGTTACTGTGCAGTACCGTTGCCATACTTTTTTTTTTTGATGCGCAGTAACTCATTACTTTTCAGTATCGTTGCTGCACGGTTAGTGCCAGCAACGCTGCTGCATGGTAGCAACGAGCTACTGTGCTGTAGCATCTCATGTAGATGCACCGAGTGTCTTCAATACGATTTTCTTCTCACCAAGAATTCTCAGAAGACTCTCGTGAAGTTAGCATGATCACAAACACGGATCTTCAGGAATGAAGTGCATCTTCTGTGGCCCATGCTCAGAATTGTTTTTTTGAATCTACCTGTATTGGATCTATGGCATGGGTTTCCAGTTAATGCTACTCGACAATATTTTGCTTGCTTTCTTTCTTTTAATATGGTACCTGCACTTTTCACTTAGCATCCCCTGTTAGTATTCCCAGTGGCAAGGGGTGAAAGATGAGGTTTAATCTTGTTTGAAGTCCAAGCAGCATTTTGACAGAAAACAGTGTTCTGTTTTCTTTTGAAAAGAGCAGCTTTGTGCCTCTTAAGTCAGAAGGGTTTTTTTCTACCTTGACAGCTTCCCTCTCTGCTGCCAGTTGTTTTCTGCAGCTGCGGGTAATAACAATCTTGCCCATATTGCAGCTGTGAATATTCCTCCTAATGTGTCAAATCTTTAGACAGACTTAACAGTCTTCAAAGAAAAATCATAAGAAAATGAGCAGAATGAGAAATGTTACAATGTATGACTATGCTAATGATTATTAAATTAGTTTGCTTGGATTACAGTAGTACCTGACAACCCTCAAGAATCAGGGGATCATTGTTCTTGGCACTGTATGAACAGGAGCAAAAAGGAGAGATCCTTCTTCAGAGAGCTTGAAATCTAAGCATCAGACAGGGAACAAGACTGAAGAAGTGGCAAAATGGGGAGTCGGAGGGTGAAAACTTTGGGTCCTAGATGAGCAGCAGTTGACTGGACCAGAAATTCCAGCGTGCAGTTCTAACAATGCAGTCCTAGCTCGGGCGCAGCTGCGCTTTTTCCGGTGTCACTTGTTTCAGTGTTCTGCCCATCCTACATGTGAAACGAGCTTTGCCTAGTAAAGCCATGTTCTGGCATAACTGTATCTACAGCAGGTGCTTCTGCTGGCACAACCTGTGAGTCAGGGATCACAAACCTTCATAGCTGCTTTCCACAATGTAGCTATGCCTGCAGAAGCCAATAACCTTTGAAAATCATAATCTTACATGTCACTTAATGCTGCCAGAGAGAGAGTTTGATTTATAGGAGTTATATCCGAGAGGGGGAGAGGGAAGGACTTTTGAGCACCAGCCAAGTAGAAGTGAGCTGTGCATTTGGTTGGCTTGTGGGAGTGAGTCCTGTTGTCTGGGTCCAGCTCCTGTGAAAGCTCTGCTTCCCGTGCCTGTGAGCCTCCCACTGTCGTTTCCTGATTCATTATTGTCTAAAAACATACAAGAACGAAAAGGAGCATATGGCGCATTCCTCAGTACTGACAGTTAATTTTGACTTTAATTAGCATCTCCTCATTCCATCCCACAGTCCTCTACCCCTGAGTCTAACATTGAATCTCACATGTACCCAGGCTGCGCAGAAGAGCTCTGGGAAATGCATTACTTGGATGCTTCGTTTCATGCTCCATTTGCGGTATTAAGCCAACCTAAAACACCAGCGTAATGGCAACTTCACTTCTTGCCGTGGAGCTCCCACTAGCCGACTGCTTTGTGCATTTGCGTGTTATATCGATAAAGTCTTGAGGACATCAGTAGCATAAAACCTTTCGAGAAATGCACATCAAACAGCCTGGCTGAAATGTTTTTGATATAGTGCTTTAATGTGGTGGTGAATAAATATTTTATTTGTTTTGCTTGCTTCATGTCTAAAGCAGGCTTCTCTTTTCTTGTTTAGGCTATGCTCTCATACCTTCTGCCAAGTCAGATAATTTCTCAGACTCCAGCCACAGCGAGATCTCCTCACGGTCCAGCATAGTGAGCAACTGCTCTGTCGACTCCATGTCTGCAGCCCTCCAGGACGAGAGGGGTTTGCCCCAGTCTCTTAGTGTCGTGGATTCAGTGGGAACAGAAAGAAAAGAACATCCTCCACCATCGGCTGAGTACAGTCAGCCTTGCCCAGGGTGAGGAACTTTCTTCCTGCGTGCTTGCCTGAGAAAAGAGTAGTGAAGGCTTAACCAAGACACTGTTATCAGTTATATTGTAATTATTCTTCTTTTTATTAACCGGTTGACAGCAGTCCACATGATAGCTGCTTAAAATGTAGGGGAAGATGCGGGGTTTTTCCCAGCACGATTGCACTATAATTTAAACAGATAGCAGCTTGTTTGCATCAGCAGGATGTGGTCGAGTGTCTCAGGCAGGAGACTGCAAATGCATTAAGCACTAATAAGATATTTAACAAATAACCTGCTGTACAGTGCTAAGGACGACAGCTGAATGAGACGAGGAAACAAGCAATTATCCACTGACAGTCAGCAATATCAGTTGCATAAATACTTTAATGTGTGACCCAAACATTTTGTTTGCGGGGGGGATGGGAATGGGATTTACGGTAGAATAGGCAACGGAATACAAAATGGTTTTTCATGCTTCGTAAGTGTTCCTAGATTTCAAAACATGTCAATATATGTGGGTATATTAATACTGTATTTTATATATTATCCTCTGTATGTACTTATGGCATACTTCACAGCTGGTAAGAGGCTTTGACTGATAATCAGCAGCTTTTCTTTCTGTATTCTGAATCCTTATAAAACAATGATTTATGCATTGTCTTTAATCATCAACTGTCAGCAATAAGATAATTTTTCCTTTAAAGAAATAGTTGCTAAGTAGCCAGTCTTTTGAATCTCTGTATGTCTGTCACTTTAAATTCCTTCTATAAATATTACAAATGCCTCTGAATCAAATTTAGGAATCTGCTGCCCTGCAGTGTTGTTTTTATTTTAAATAACACTGGTTTTATTGCTTGCTGTGCACAAGCAACTATTTGGAACAAGTTAGCTTCATACGTTGTTCAGGTTGTTTCATGCTTTGTGGTTCAGTGCTTGTGGTATTTTTTTCCCTGTGTTCCTGTAACTTAAAAAAAAAAATGTTGGCTTTGATTTTGTAATATAAAAGACAAGGAAAAAAATTCCAGGATCAATATGCAATTTCACGCCCCTGTCCTAATCCAAAGGTTATTGAAGCCAGTGATTTTAATAGACCGTGGATCAGGGCCCCAGATGCTTGCTGCAGACTTCTTAAATCCCGAGTGCATCAATGGAAGTTTGGAATAGTGACTATCCTGGACTAACAATGTTGTTGTGCAACACTGTGGTGACCTCCTGAGGTCCCTTGCAACCCTAACTTTCTATGATTCTATATTTGATCCTGCTGCCTACTAACCATACTTCAAATGCAGATGACATTTAGTTTCTGAATTCACAGGAGGGAGGCTGAGGGTGGTATGGTGTGGCTGTCTTTCTACCAACCTGTGGCTTTTTCTTTCTAATTTATATTGTCTTCAAAAATAGTTGGCCCTTCCCTAGACCGGCTATAATCAGAGGATTGGCTGTCACATCGTCCATGAGCAATGAGGAGATCTCCCATGAACATATTACAATAGAAGCAGCAGACAGTGGCCGTGGAAGCTGGACTTCATGTTCAAGTAGTTCTCATGATAACTTCCAGAATATCCAAATTCAGAAAAGCTGGGATCTCTTGAATTCTTACCGCCACACTCACTTGGATGGACCTATTGCTGAAGTAGAACCCACAAACTGTTACCCTGAAGAGGCGTATTTGTATTCCGAAGCCTTTTCCAAAAATAATAGGCAGTCCAAAACCAGCGTGGAATTGGATCAGTCTCGGCAGAGCTGGGCCTCCTCTAGCTCTCTGTCAGACACGTATGAAACAAACTATGGGACGATTAAACGGAGAGGGCTGGAGAACTCAACAATGGAGCAGACTGAGATTTTGGACTCTAAACCAGGCACTGATGCAACTTATAAAACTGTTACTTCTAGTACAGAAAAGGGCCTAATAGGTAAGCCAAGTCAAAAACCTATGGAAGCTTCCACATCTGTTTTGCATTTTTATATTAAGTTGTTAACAAATGACATCAGATTGAAGGACAGGGTTGCATGTTAAATCCAGCTTTGCATGTGGTTTTAATCACAGTAGGATTCAGATAATGTGTTTGCAAACCAACTTTTTTTTGGATTAGGAAAATTAAACTAATAAGGCAGCATGCTTCCTTAGTCTTCTGGGACTACAATTCCTGCACATAGTATCAATGTTCCTTTATTTTTTGAGGCTCCTTTGGGATCTCCCCTACACCCTCACCATTGTAGTCTTTCTTCTGGCAAGGAAGGCTGAACTTGTGAATCTGTCTGCCTTGCTCCATCCATCAGCCAGCAAGGGAAGAGGGCGACTGCTGAGTGGTTTAAAGTGCACTGTCCTCTGTAGGCTGAGCGTGCTGCATCAACACCACTCCTGTGCAGATTCCTTTCCTGTCATCACATTGCACTGCGTTAGATTGCACACTGAGAGGGGAAAAACACACTCTCTTCTGCAGAAATAAGCCTTCCAACGATGCACGGTTTTACTGAAAGCGTGCTCTTTCAGAGTTTTAGTGAGCAAGGCTGCCAAACTGCTAAGACTAAAGGAATTGGACTATATGCAAGATAAAACATGGAGTAAAGTTTTCTGGAAAAAAAAAATGCTTAAATAAGAGTGTATCCAAAACCCAATTTAATCACTAAGCAACTTGCTAAAGGGGTTTACTTTATCATCAAAGGGTAATTGTCCGAGCAGACATCCTTCTGCCACACATTGGGTGGAAGTTTTGTATTGCATTCCTTCTCTCTCTGGCTGTATGGAAAAAGTGAGTGCATTTAAGTTGGTTTTGTACAAAGCTCCCAAATGTAGTCCCTTACACATACTCTCCCCGTGTTATCATGTCGTAACTGCTCATGCATTTTTCATAAGCTCCAGCATTTTGGCACATAAGCCCCTCGATACATTATTGCTTATCTCTTAATCCTTTCTACTTCATTTCTCATTCTAATGTGTGTACCCCACCACCAACTTCTGTTTCTACATGCAGACATAATACATCAGTAAGTAGCTTTCAGCAAATGCATTGCATCCTATTGTAGTAAAGAAGAAAAATAGGTGCAGGTTGCTCCTGGTTCACAAATCGCTCTTTAATAGTGCAAGCCTGTGAACCCACCAGCATCAGGCAACACACCAAAGATATTCAAGCTTTATTTCACTACTTGTTTATTTTTGGTGAACTCATTGCCACCAAGGCCTGTAATGACTGCATGAATTCAAAACACTGCGTAAAGTGAGACTTCTGTTTACTTGCCTAAATAATACTGTTGCAGAAAGTCCCACAAGGGAAACGGTAGAAACTGTCTGATTTGAGGTCTTTAAAACAAGGCAAGACAAAGCTCGAAAAACATACTCAGGGAAAAGTTTTGGCAGAATGATTAAACTCTGTGGGCTAGTAATTCATTGTCACCTCTGAAGTCCGTGACGAGGAAGCTAGGTTTCTTTAACCTGTGCATTTAAAGGAAAGCTATACTGGACAGTGACCTGCCATCCTGGAGCACTTCTTGCATTCTTCATTGCTGTTGGCTGGTATGGACATCAGCTTATGCCTCGGCTGCCTGCCTGCCTTCATGCCTGCCTGCCTTCCTTCCTTCCTTCCTTGTGTTGCCACCTTTTTGAGATATTTCTCATTGACCAGTCTGTCTCCTGCATAGGGTAATTACAAGAGTACGTAATTAACTATTTTTAGAAGATCTGATCTGCACTGTGCTTGGTGTAGAGACTTTTATATTTACCAGATAGTAAACCAGAAACATATCTGTGGTCTGATTTTTAGTGCCTTATGCCTGACTTGCAGAAATGGCCTCTCATGTTTCTGAATACAGTTGAGATTTTAACTGCAAGATAAGAAAGCTATGCAATACCCAGGGGTGTAAAACAGTCCCCAGGTGTTAATCTAAACTTCACATGATCACGTTCTGCATGCCATTGTTTCAGCCAGAGAGGCAATTACACATGGAGATCAGTTCAGTATTTCCTCTGTCAATAGATGGGGAGTGAGAATATTAGAGAATCTGTTCTGGGTGAGAAGATGGTCCCACATATGAGACTTTTAAAAGAAGGGAAAATCTCAGTGGGAGGAGTAGAGATTAAGGGAGTCTCTGAAGACAAAGGGCCCATTTTAATTGATTTTATTCTCAATGTCTGAGAACAAGTTAATGAACTAACAGGACGTGTAAACGCTTTTGCTCTTTCAAAACACTTATTTCTATCTAAAAGTGTTTTAGATACTTCCACAGTTGCCACTTCAATTCTGTATTTCTCACTTGGCTATCTTCACTTTTCGGGATTTTAAGTGATGTACACACTTAGACAGTGATAAGAATTAGGGAGGTGCAGTGGCGCGGATACCAGTGGTTGTACTATATACAACTCTTCTGAGGGATGGTACCTTTTGAGTTTAGAATTAGAAGACACAATTAGTTTTGGGGGCCTAATTAGAAAATTAATGAGATTAATGATGCTTTGCCCTTATGTAATGTTCTATTACTCATAGGATTTTACAAATACTAGCCATGTCAAATATTCTAAATTAGTCTTTAGTTTGTACATTTTTTTCCAATGATATGTTGATGAGCGACTGCAAGGCCAAATGATCCATAACTTTAGGGTCAAGAAGCTTAGTTTAGTTGCATTCTTACTCCATAGGGGCCTTGTCTACAGACATACAAATTAGACTGGTTAAAGTAAAACCATTTTTTTTAAATCAGTTAATAAAACCTATGCAAATACCTATGTGGACACAATTCGGTTAACTTTAGTTTTTTGGCTACTTTGGGAGTCTATACACATGCTCCAGGCTGGTGGGAGGGGTGCCACTCTTGGAGCCACTCTAATTAAAGCACCCACAGCATTACTTGTATTCAGCATCCTGCACTTCAAAATGGCGGTGGGGGTGGTTGACACAGAGGCTGCTGGAACACGTTAATTAACATGCTCCAGCACACTCAATCGAGTCTGCTCCAACGCGTGCTAATTAGCACCCATCGGAGCAGATGTCCAGCGTGTGTATAGGTCCCCTTTATTATTAACCACATGTAGACGATTTAAGTGTGTTCAAGATTTATAACTTCTGCTCCTGTTACTAGCTCCAATAAGTAATGTTTCAGTAGTTATCACTCTTGTTTTCAAACTTGTTTGTTGTAAGCCAGGGGTAAACTGATTATAACATGTCCACGCAAGCTTGTGACTCAAGAAATTGCGTGTTAAAATGATTCTAGATGAATAGATGCAACAAGGTCTAATCTCAAAGGATGTCTGGTGTCATCCTGCATGTTAGCGAGTGCAGTGAAGTTTTAAAGCTAGTGGTTTTACAGAATCTCTATTTTCTTATTCCTGAAGAGGCTTGGAAGTCTGGAGCTGCCGGTCTGTGCCTTACCCCCTCACAGACTTATTAAGACCTTGGGCAAGTCACTTAACTGCTCATGTATTATAATCGCCTAGCCTGAGAATGGAGTTGAAGAGCGCTATCTCTTAAAAACTACTGTCATAATTGTATTAGTATTTGTAGAGTTCTCTGAAACCTGTAATGGAAGGTGCTATTGAAGTATGGAGAATAATGACTAATAACATTGCAATTTGAGTGTTTCAGTGCATTTAAACAACATGGGTGCATCTCTACGTGCATTAATGTGCTTTAGTTAATGTGCATTAAATCCAGTACCTCCATTGTGAGGTACTAGGAAACTGTACATTTGCCTATCTTAATGCACATTAACTAAAGAGCACAGTTTTTAATGATGCTTAATGCGCATTAGCCTATTTTAACGCATATTAACTAAATAGCATATTTTTAGTGATGCTTTAATGCACATTAAAATAGGCTAATGTGTATTAAAAGTGCACTTGCAGGCGCACCCCATAAGACTATAATTATGGTTCACTTCAATTGACATCTCACGATATGATTTCAGTAGCTCTATTGCAATATCAACTTTTCAAAACAAATATAAAGTATAAGTTTAAAGTTTGCTGCTGTTGTTTTAACCAGTGTTTCTGCATTTGCCTTTTGTTATCAGTTTCTGTTTTGCCATTGTAACATTTCATGATTTTTAATGTTTTATTTCCTTTGTTTTCTTCATTAACATTTCCATTGCTTATTTCTTGTGCCAGTGTACTGTGTCACCTCACCTAAGAAGGACGATAGGTATAGGGAGCCACCGCCCACCCCTCCGGGATATATGGGGATTTCTTTAGCGGACATAAAGGAAGGATCGCCCCACCACCCACACTTAAAACCTCCAGACTATAGTGTGGCAGTGCAGAGGTCAAAGATGCTACATAGTGACCTCCCTAGACTTTCATCAGCTTCTCTCAGTAGTGAACCAGTGGCCTGTATTTCATCGAAGATGCCTCAGTGGCATACCCGGCAGCCGTCCCATCCTAAACTAACAGATATGACTGACGCAGATAGTGAAGAGGATGGTATGTTAAAGAACTAACTTGATAGATTTTAAATGAACTGCTGTGTAAATCACGTCTCAGAACTGTGCAAAGTATTTGCCTCACAGGCTAGTTCTTGGGTTTCTTGCTGTCACTTTTTGGAGACTGAACTTTTCTAAGGTCAAATATATGTGAAAATTAAATATGCCTTCAAATTCTGAAAAAAAGGGTGCTGGGCAATCCTATCACTAAATGGGTGCTTAATTGCAATGTGCTATGCCTGGAAGGGTGGAACTGAGACGCTCAATCCTTAGCATGCTCTGTTTCTCTTCCACTCCGTACCTGTTCCTTGAGCAATTCTGATCATTAAAGGGACACTGTGAGGTTAAATATTTTATTTTAAAATAATTTCCACTTCAAGAATGCTTACGTTCCTGAGTGGGACTCATTGTCCTAGGATTACTTTTTGCATTTTTCTCAGTCTGGACAACGACCGTAAGCAAATTTGTGTCATTTTCATAAATTTGGTTTCTAGCGTGGTTTTCATGCAGTAAAGCGGTGTTGCAATCTTTTGTGCGTGAACATTACAGAATTAGATTTGTGGAAAAATATTGCAAATAAAAAAACATTTAAAGGAAGATTTTTGGTTGTTTCTGGGTCTTGTAAAAGCTTGCTTTTATAAACACCGCATTTTTGATCAAACTTGAGATGACAGTGTCTCCTTAAACTAAATTTTTCTGCAGTCCTGTTTGAAGCAACTGCCAGTGCTGCATGAACAGTGTATATTCTCTGCAAAAATGTATTGTGCTTGAGATGGCTGCTCTTGTGTATAGTGTGGTTGACTCCAAACTTACCTACCTCTGGTTTTTAAAGCTCCTATTGCCTTATGTGCCACTGCTACCAGCCCTCTTTCCTACTGTCAATGAACCTAAAACTCCTATGCTTTAATATAACGTTGATTTGCTTGAATATTAATGCATTTTGAGCCAATTTTCTTTTTCTGAATAAGATGATTCTATTTTTGCCTTAAATGATAATAAATCATTCAGTATATTATATTCATTTACGTATCATGATTTAAGTTCATCTGGTAAAATATAAATCAGTTAACATTGGTTGAGGTGTACAATATTAAGAAGTAATAATACAAAGAGGGCAAGCAATTGCTTCAAGCACTTTATTCCAAACTTTTCAGCATGGCTTAGTGAAAGACTAAGGTACACGCTGGATGGTAGGCATTTTTTTAATGATCGTATTTATGACATTCTGGTCATTTGTTAGACTCTGGACGTATCAGAGGGAGGTACAGTCTTCACAAAATCATCACAAATAATGGGGTGTGATCATATTGAATACTGTTTTGTATGTTCACAGCAGATGTCTGATATAATAATTGGCTTTGTTTCTCCTCTTTTACAGAAGATGAACAAGTATCAGCAGTCTAATCATACGGATTTCTGTGTAAACCACTTCAAATCACAGGGGACATGGGAAGAAGGACCATATGATTCTGTTAGCTTGTGCTAACAACTTGCTGCTACTAACCTCAAAGGTTGTATAAGCCTCTGTCATGGACAAGATGAACCTGGCTGGATCATACATCTTTAACTTACTTCAGTGTACCACAGTCTAAGAAAACAATTCATGTCTGCGAGAGAGAGAACAGTTTCCAAGGGGAGTAGTGACTGTCTACGTACTGAACATCAGTATCCTGAAAAGGACCAGTTTTAACACATTTGGGACCACCAATTGTCAAGAACCACTTGAAACTTGGGAGCATTATTCTATATAATACCATATAATCCTTTGGTAGATTTCTGTCATAATTATTTTCTACCTGATCATTATAATTGTAAATTGGAGAGTGTTATTTTATGTACTTATTAAAAAAAAAAAAAAAACCATCAAAATTTCAGCAAAATCAAGGACACTGCTGCAGTATATGAAAAGTAATTTATTGGTCTGTAGTTTTTAGAGGGATTTTCTTTTATCTGTGCTGGGAATGCTCTGGCTGGCTAATGTGAACACGTAAAAGAAAATTGGAGACTTCACAACAGACGCATAAACCCTGGAGCCTACACAACGCAACGTTAGTTTATTCAGAAATACCCGGATTTTGTGGTGTGCACTAGATGTAAATACGATGAAAACCCGAATACAGCAATGAAACACTGCCATCTGTTGGTACTGCCTTAAAAATCTGTAAAATACCGATGAAAGCCTTTAATGATCAGGCTGCAGAGAAAGTCACAGGAGTTCATCACTGCATTCTCCCCAGAGTAAAGGTTTGAAATAGGGAGGCTGCAGTTTCTGTGGAGGTATTGAGTATATTCGAAAGTCTCCAAGCAGAATTGCACCCAACTTTTTGAATTGCAGAGTGCAGCATAAGAAACGCATTGGTAGTCACCAAAAGGAAAAGTAGTGTGCAGCAGGCTCAGGAACATTTGATATTTTTATACTCGTACCAAAAAAATTACACAGAAATAAGTTGTTTCTGCTTCCGTTATGGAGTAAACCCCAGGGTTGCATAGGCGTTAAAGTAATGGGGGAGGGAAGTCTCCAGTCTGGTCTGCAGGGCTGGTATTGCTCTTGTTCGCGGGTGAAATACAACATACAACTGATTCTGCAAACGTAGTGTTCACTGAAATCTATGAGAGCTTTGATTTCAGCGGGGCCAGTACTCAGCCACAGTGATCTTGTACAATTAGGATAAACTCCCTGGCTTTCTTCATTTTTACTTAGCCAATCAGAGTACATGGGGTAAAACTGGAAATACTTGCATTTCCTTTCAGTCTGGCACATGGTGGCCCAATCAGCTGTTAAAACTGGACATAAATGTGTGAATATGTACTTTAACATTCTCATTGTAAATCGTAATGGTGATGTTTACAATCTAAGCTAGAAAGAAGATGTTCGTCATTTTTACAGGTGCCTCAAAGAAATTGTTTCTGTATCTAAATTGTGAAGAGCTTTAAGATTTTTTTTTTTTTTTTTTTGGTCTCCTCTTTTCTTTTCCCCCCTACTCCTTTCCTGGTGCAGAACGAATGCAGCATTTTCTAAAAATGACACAAGTACCAAAAACAACCAAAAGCCTTTGACGTGCATTGCCCATATCAACTCGGGGTTGATGTTAGCTAACACAGGAATGTGTTCGATCAAGCTTATATTTGTCTTCATATTTGTGCCAGTTGAAATATTATCCTATGGCTGGAACATACCTTAGATTGATTCTTGTATCCTGAAGTCATAAATTAGTCACAAGCACTAATTTGAAAAAGGGGATGCCTAATTCATAATTAATTGTTTGACTGCGTGTTAATTTTGGGTCTGAGCATCTGAGGAAGGAATAGCTGAAAAAAATCCTTTTGAAAAGCAGATTACCCATTTCCGTTCAGCCTTCTCAAGGCCTTAATGAATGCAGTAGACTTGTGCAGGCCTTAATGAATCAAGATTAATAAACATGTCAAAATGATCCAAGGAAAAACTATTCTGTTCAGTATCTGTAAAGTTGATATCGAAGTCCTTAAAATTATCTTTTTTGGGCTATAAATTGCAAATTCTAGTAATCCTACAGTAAACTGTAGTCAATTGTTAACGTCTCAGTGTTGTGCACAATAGGCTTAACGTTTAATCAGAAAATCATGTGTTTTGTGCCAGATAAATTAAGGTTTCAGTGACTTCAGCTATTGATATGTAGTTTATTTCAGCCTGTTAAGCCAAAAGGAGTAAAGGTTTGTTCTTGAGGTGACCACCTGTCTTTCAGAGGGGCTGATACTACTTCTTCTACTGATGTCGGTGGCAAAACTCCCAGTGACTTCAGTGGGAGCAGCATGGAGGCCCTCATCTGGTATCCATTAAGCCAGCCATTTGCTATCATTTACTCATTTAAACTTGGTGTTTGCACATCAACAGCATCAGCCTCTTCAGCAGTAATTGTCAGGACATTGCTTTTAAAGTGAGTGTGAAAGTCTTGCTTCATCAGAGTTTCCTAATATACAGTACGTCTAGTGTAAATAAATCATGCATAAACTATTGATAAATGAGCTACTTTTTCTGCTTCTTCTGACTTGCACAGTGTGGCTTGCCTCTGCTTGTCCTTGCTGTGATTTTGTTTGTTTGAACTCAACTGATCACATTGATCGGGGACAATAGCCAAATGTAGTACGTCTTGTGTGGGTTTGAAGAGACATTATCCCTTTTTTTTTTTAGTTTTGAAAATTGAATTAAGACACTGCTTAATTCACATTTTACTTTGTTCTGTTCAAGTGGTATTTCATGAAACCATAAAGTGTGAGCAAATAACCTGTGCTGCACTCCATCCTCATATCACTTCTTTCCCTTTTCACAATCCTGACCTCTGAGGAGCGCAATGTCCTTCTCATATTTTTCTTCCCCTTACGCAAATTAATTTGCTTGCTGCTCCAGTAACTATTTGTGTGCTTGTAACTGTTGTGAGGGCAATGTTTACTGGTTGTGATCTGAGACGCATTGTAGCATTTCATTGTGTTTTTTAAATCTCAATCTTTCCAAGAATTTACAAAGCCACGTAGTACCCTTAAGTGAATTGGCCTCCACACATTTGCAGATGAAATTAGGAAACTGAGCTTCTGATGCACTCATTTGCATATTGTGCAAGTACAGGGGACTAAAGGGGAATTGCTTGGGATATTTGCTATATGCTTGTGTTAAGCTTTTTGTGGTAAGAAGAATGGAACGACTGGCAATCATTGCAAGATTGGGAAGATGAGGCATTTTCATTGCTAATCTGCTTAGCCCTTAGCTATGGAAGTAGTGTGGCACGGCCCATGATGCTTCTTATCTAGGAGATGATTACAGGGGGAGACATGGCTTCCTTCTAACTCGTTACACATCTTGATTGTGTGATGCTCTGAGTGTCATCCTTGCCTATTCAAAGCATTGAGAGGTGGATGTTGGCCAGGACTTCTTTGGACTGAGTCCATGGAAACGTCCTTTGCTGAAGGAATCTGTACGTTAGCAGCTCCCTCAAAGATAAATCTCTCTCTCTTTCTCTCTTTTTGCTCCTCCTCTATCTCTGAAATCACTTGATTGCAGGCAACAATGCAAATGAATGACTGTCAGTTTAAGCTTTTTCTATACATGCGTTAGAACTAGATTTTTTAAAAAACTGTTCTTACCACTGCCTTCAGAAAAAACAGAGTAAAAAAGGGATACTCTCTCTTTAGAAAACCTTTACACATTGTATTTAAAATATGTTGGGGCGTGGAGGGGGCGAGGGCAAAACCCTCTGGATTTCACAGTTCAGCTTTAGCGTATGTTGTGCTTTTTATTGTTTTATCTTTTTTTTTATACCTGGAATGCAGTTTAGCTTGGTATTAATGACATTCTAAATATGTGAGCATATTGGCAAAAACTGCACAGATGTAATGATATTCCAATAGCAATTGTACTGCACAAGTCAGTGATTGTAAAGTATTCTGTAACAAGCAATGTTTGTCTCCTATTTTTTTATACCTATTACTATTATGTCTTTTAGAAAGACAGTGCCTCTGTATGCTTTTTGTATTTTTACTGAGTGATTGTAAATATTTGTTATATTTTTGGTTAAGAGAATGTTTAAAAGTCCTGTTTATTATCCAATCTACTAATATGTTGGGATCAATAAACAATCTACATACATTACTAGGTTTCAAGCTCGGCTTTCTTGACAATAAAAAGGACGTATCCGGGAGGATTACTAATCCCCTGATATGGTCAGACTGGGTCCGAGGGCGTAGGACGACTGCATTTTGTCATCTGTGGCACCACTTCCAGGGTCGCCGAGGAACAGCAGTTTCACAAACGTTACTATTTTAAAGGGGAGGGGAAAAGAGAGGTGGTGGGGCAGCGGGAGCCCAGAGGGAACACGAGGATTGGGCAGTGACCGCGAGGTGGAAACACGGCTGCTGGTTCCCTGCTGTCCGGCTTCTCCGCCCACGAGTCACCTGTGGCATCAGGCTGCCCGGGGAGCCCAGACAAGGCTCCATGCACAGCTCGGCCCACCGTGGATTTTGCCTCGAGCTGTGGGATGAAGCCCATGCAAGGTTGTTTTAATGTACTTTTTCTCTTAAATTAGCAATTTCCTTCCAGCCCAGAGGCACTCACACCATGTCTGCAGCGGGCTCCCCTCTCCCACAGCAGCAGGGGAGCCGAGTCCAGGTAGTCCCAGACTTGAGACCAGCTTCCAGGAGCTGCCAAGGGTTGGCCGTGGCCTCGCCGCGGCCACCCCCTCCACGGTCTTGGGGCTGGGACGCCGTGCTGGTGCCTCGTCTCTGTGAAACACCCCTCTGCCATGGAAAAGTGCAGCCCGGGGTACAACGGTTCCCTAATGAGGGTCCCGGCAGTTCGCAGAAGGGTAAGTCTTATGTACACCCCAGCTCAAAAGACTCAGGGTAAACGTCCTTTTTCAGGAGTCACTTGGAGAGAAAATGCAGTCTTTGCTCTTTGCGTGCCCAACCCAAAAGGTATTTGCTGGCAATTTTCTTCTTTGCAAACGCATCCCTCTCTCCTCCTCCCCTCAGGCACCCAGAGAGGCGCCCCTGCCAGCTGGTGCCTGTCTCAGACAGGTGCAGCAAATGAATGTGCGCCCCAAATCCTTGTTCTGTGCCTCAGACATGGGAAGGGGGCTCTTCCTGTCCCTGCGGCGCAGGACATGCCAGGCCGTGCCCATCACAGAGGCACTAAAGGGCTCTCCTCCCTGCCTGTACTGCCGAGGTAAGTGGGTCATTTAGATGATTGCAAGTTGTCAAGGAATAGTTTAAAGTAGGGTGGGGTATTTGCCCGGTCAAATAAAGTTTGGTCAATTGACCCATCAAACATCATGCAAAAATTGTAACAAAAATTGCCGGTTAGGTCCAGATAATACACAGAAAAAGCACAAAGGTTCCACTAAGAAATGTATCAAAAATATAAAATCATGGTTTTCTTGACAGAAATACATTTTCTAAAAAGTAGTTTTTTTGTAAAGTTGATATAATCTTCGGTTAAAAAAAAATAAAAAAAAAGCAGTCAATTGATAGGTCAACTGACCGGCTTGCCAACCCTAGCTTAAAGTATTGGAGAGATGAGGCTGGTGTGTTTGCAGCCCCTGCCGTGGCTGTGGCTCCCCAGGTGCGTGCCTTGGGGGCTGTCGGGGCCTGTGCCAGGGCTGATTCTTCTGTGGCACCTCTCTCAAGGCAGGGACTTACTGCTACAGGCACCGTCCCCCAGGGTAGACAGAGAAAACAGGCATGTTTGAACTTCTGGCTCAAAAATGTCTGTGATTTGGGGTCAGATTCAGCAGCCTAATCCAGAAGATAAATGATTTGCCTGAAAGTTTTGCTCAACTCTCGTAACAGCCCTGCGGTAGACAGATGGGGGAAGCTGGCAGTCATCCTGCCCACTAAAAAATCTTGGTTCAAGCTGTGAAGGACGGGGTGGAAAGCCTTGAAGCAGGAGTTTTATAAGGATGTACTGAGAGGAGACTCCCGACATTGTCAGTCAGAAATAGAAAGCTAGCATTTCCATTTGGCAAAGGTTTCCGCGCAGTCTGCACAGCACAGCGTACTGAAAACGCTGAGCCAGCAAAATGCAACAAATAGCTACAGCTCTCCTGAGCGTCTTCTGTTTAGTTATAGAGGACTAGGAACGGTTTACAATTAGGAAAGTAAAAAATACCGCTTTCTTCCCTTTCCAAGGGCAGATGTTTGTCTCTTCGATGGAGTACTTTACTAGTGTGCACTCCCCCTTTGATGTCTGGTATCCCAGAGGGTCTCAGCCAGCAGGTGAGCATGGCAGCGTTCCTGCATCTTGAATGTGCTGCGGCTGAGGCTGGTCTCGGTGATTATATTGTAGTCCAAGTAAGGAATAAACCCAGTGACATCCGCATGAACAAATACAAGCCCTTTTATGACAGTGCTGGGGAATGCCAGGGTCTGTTCGAGACGCAAACAGCAACTCCTGTCCCCTTGCGTGTATCTGAGGGTTAGAAGGCAGATCGGGTGGTTTTCAAAGCCTCAAAGCCTTTGCCTTTTCACCTTGCTGGAACAGATTAGGAGCAAAGCTTAGCACTTTTTAAAATCCCTCCCAAAAGTCCATTAAACGACCTTTCTCAAGGGAGGTTGTATTACTGAAATCTGCTATCAGAGCCCCTGTGCCGCTTGTTCTTTACATTCAAAGCCAATAGATATTAACAGCCCATAGATAGGAGACCTGTTCTGGGACCCTGGAGCACCTATTCCACTGGTACAAGAGATTTTTTTCCCCCACACACTGGTGCTGCAGTGAATTTTGGAGGAGTGCTTGTTTCAAATTCAGCACAGGATCCATCAGTCTTTAGAGAGACTAGGAAGCAATTAGGGGTAGGCTTCTGATCTGTTTGTCGAGTCCTAGCAAATCTTATTTTCGTGTCAAAGAAACAATAAAATATTGAGCAAAGGAAATGTCCCTACGTAAATGCTTCTCAGTGGGAGTGGGATTTTGCTGGGGTTTTAAACTCTTCTGCTTCCCTTTGTTCTGTGTTTAGAAAAGCTCGTGCTTAACTGAGGAACATCTCTGGAACAGTCCCTGTGTCTTGGCTCTATGTTGAGATGAATGTGTTCTCCATCAATTTAAGGGAAGGTGAAATCTGTTGACTCGTTAGTGAGGTCAGGCAACCACATCCTGCGCTGAACGCAAGTTTGGTTCAGCAACCCTGGCAAAAAAAAGCTGCACTGTTGATGACACGCAGTCGTGGGGAGTGGAAAAGTTGCCACACGAGGGCAGCAGTTCATATCATTTTATCAAGCTGCTTTTGAAATGAATCCTTGCAAAAAAATCCAGGCTTGAGTGCAATTAAGAAGGGCGGGAACAACCACTGGGGGTTTTCTGTGCAAACAGAGCATCCGTAAGGGAAAAAAAAAACTATTAAAAGCCTTTAAAATGTTAATCTCTATCCGTGCACATAGTCTATCAGTGCACATAGCCTGGATGGTGTACAAGAAGTTAGCAAAGGTTTAAGCATGGATTTTTCTCTCTTGTACAGGTAGGCTGCCAGACTGCATTGCAGCCTTGGTACAGCTTCTCTTCGCAGCCGTGACCAGGGGGCTACTTGCTGCCTCCCCAGTACAGAGAGTCCCTGTCCCACACTGCCAGTGTAGACTGCCCCGTTCAGAGTTAGGGCTAAGAAAACAGCCTTTGCCCAAAGACCGAGCTAGGCTATCACTTCCTTGGTTTTCTACCCCTCATGCTCCTCCACCATGTTTTGGCTTTCCGAAGCACTGGAGTGATCCCTTGTGTACCTGTTAGCCTTTGTGATATGGTGACTCCCAACCTGAAATACAGTACAATTTCTGAAAACTTAAATATTTGAATATTATATATTTAAATATATAAATATATTATTATATTTGTAAATATTCTACAAATATTTACACACTTAAATATTTGTAGAACGGCGAGTGCAGTCCTTGTCCGTGTTCACAGCCATCTGACCTCTGTTGTTGCTGTTGTTTGCTTGCATTACCCCAGCGGTTAGGAAACCCAGACCTGTTGTGCTAAACACGGGGCAAACCTAGAATTCGGATTGTCCCTGTAAATTTTTGCAGCCTCTGTATAAGGCAAGAGGCAGCAGACAAATAGACCCAAAGAGACAGACTATGCCTGTGCGGCTACCTGACTATACTGTCACCCTCAAGCCCATTCCTGCCAACCACCTGCAGTGAAACCCCCTGAGCTCACAGTTTGGCAAGTCTCATGAGCCTTGAGGTCTGAGGTTGAGCTTCCTCTTTGCTTGTCCTGTACTGCAATATGTTTGGGACATCTCTAGGATCTCTAAGGGCACACTCAGAGCAAATCTTCTAACAATAATCCTGCAGTGCCCAGCAATTCCTGACTTTCAGCCCTTTGGCACTCTACCTTCTGTCCCTTTTGCCTGCAATTAGAGTCAAGAAGAACAACTGGCAATATTCAGATCATTGGTGAAGAGTCGTTGAAGAAGCAAAAAATATGATAATTAAAAAACAAGTTAATGTTGTTATGAGTAATTCAAGAACCTGTTTCTGTATATGGAATGAAAGATTTAGATCATTAAAAACGCTCAGGGATTTGGATGTCTTGTTCCTTTTGAAATTAATGGTTACTGTGTGTGTTAATCTCCTAGGCACCTTTGAATTTGCTGGATAAAATACCCTGAAACTTTCTTTAAAAAAATCAACTTAATAAAAGATGCTCAGCAAGCTCCTAAGGGCAGCATAAAAATCAAATGGATCTGATGGCACGATGTCAGCCAGAGCTGCAATGAAAATCCTGTCCAAGGACATGTTGCTGATGTACTGATTCCCAAATTAAGTCATAACCTTCCAGCCAACCATGCCAGGAACAGGGAGTCTTGTTACATTTAGCTGCTCTAGGTACAACCAGATGTTAAACCATATTCTACGCAAAGATCAGATTTAAATTTCCAATTGCTTAGGACTGGCCTTTTGGCAGCTGTTAGGCTTTCCTGAATCATCTGTTTTCCAAATGATTGGCCATCTGTAATGATAGTGTATGCGGTGAAAGAGTAGTTCTATCACAAGTGCCAGTCAATAATCCCAAATCATGTTGGTACTCCAAATAGGGCCAGTCATGGTGCCTTGTGCATCTGAGTTGGCAGCTACAAGACCTTGCTTGTGAGT